TATATATATATATATATATATATATATATATATATATACTCTGGAATTCTGGATATATGCTGGTCATATTTTTGTTTGAACAGCAAACAATTGTATAAATGAAGTACTGTACTGTACTCACTGACTTCGCCAGAAGTTACCAACACTTCGATGTCAGAGCAGCTGAAATAGCATTCAGGAGGTGGTTGAAGGTACCAAATTTTTGATCCTTTGATTTGTGCTTGCCAACTAGGGTTTGTGACATGATCAATCTTTGGAAACAAATTAAAATTCGTTTTGTTGTTGACATCCATAGCATACACCAGAAAATCTACTTCGGATTAAAAACTACGGATCTGTTATATATACTCAGTAGAGCTGAATTAAAGACAATTAATATTGATCCATGCATTCAAGGGATTTTTTGAATTTTTCAAATGCGAATAAAAAAGTTTATATAGAGAATTTTATGCCCTAAATCTGTTAGATTCCTTATCTTCATTTCAAAAATTCGAATGATTGGCAAATCTGTCCAGTATATTGCAAAGCCAAACAAGATTTATTCACTTGAAACATTTTACAAGAGCTGATCGTGACTCAATAATGAGGGATACGAAAAGTTTGCGAAGAATATCCGTTCGTCATTTTTTCTAGGTAATTCAATGATTGTGCTTTCATATATTCAAGTTCAAAAGCAGCCTCTGACTAAGTTTCAAAATTTTCTGTTTTTTATAGTTTCATAGCAATTAAAAATCCACTTGAAAAATGTACGATGATTCAGCAATTTTTTTGAATCTTTAATGTAAGTCATTTTCGCGATTATTATCTGCAGTATAATTAGGAGAAATATATCATCATGAAAAAAAAAACGTCGATTTCCTTACGTGCATGTGAGCTCCAAAACCAGGTGTTCCCATGAAAATCCAATCCATTTTCGTGCTTTCGGAAGTCTTCGGAAGGAAATAAGGTCTTTGATAATATCGACGGAGAATTTCATTCGCCTCCGAATCGCAGCTGCCCCTATATACATGTATGGGAGAAATTGTATGAAAAGATTTACAAAAGTCCTAAGAATTTAAAATGAAACTTATTTTCTGCAAAGCTCTTTGCCGAACTACGGTAATATTTTATCCATGTTTGGCCACCAGACATTCTAATAAAATTTCATCAATTGTATGCGCGCTTATATGAAGCTGATGAATACACAGTGTAGCATAATAGAATGCAAAAAATCGTCATCTTCATTTTTATTTTCAGGATGGCTCATTATTAACAGCTAAATTTATTTCAAGAGTTTCAAAAACTTTCCTCATCAAAATCATGATTGTCTATCTATACTTTGATAACTGTAAAAAAAAGCTCAAGTCAGGATGAGACGAGGGAGGGTCAATCAAAAATACAAGGACGGATGAGTCCGTCGTGTTCATCGTGGAAATTTTTGTGATTTTTTTTCATTTTCACATGAAACAAAAATGTTTTAAATGTAAAAATGGACAGGATCCATTGTGCATTTTGCTTGAAACGTATGGCAACCTTTGTGCGAAAGTTGGATGGCTTACGGAGCCTGTGTCCACGAACATTTGCATTAAAATTGAGAAATTATACAAATTCAAAAAAGTCTTCGATAAGCCAACCGAGAGATACACAGATACACTCACAGCTTAATTCTCCCATTATAGAGAAGAGAACGTTTCTGTTCGAATTTTTGTATTTCTTTACAAATGCAGTTTTTCAAATCGCAGGGATTGAAATGAATTTTTGAGTCAGTCAAATAAAATGTATGCATAGGAAGCAGATGAATCGAAAAACCGGTCGAATTAGATTCGAAAATACTGTACTATAATACAGTACTATCTAGAAATCTGAGTATTTTTGCAATACAAAAATTTGAAGCGACTCATCGGAATTACCACAGCCTTAAAATTTTAAATCGTTTGAGTCAAGCCTAATTGATTTCGAAAACACACGAGTATGTATATATATACAGTACTCACCAGCCGACGTACCACGGCTTGTAACCCGGAGCCATTCGAGCCCTTTCGTCATCCATTGAGAAAACCTCTCCTTCACTAACTTTAAGCCAAAACATACCTTTTTTAACTGTGGGCCTCAGAAGTTTAAACAGGTTCTTCAGTAAGCTTAGACGAAGAGGAGGCAACATTTTCAGGGCTTTCTTAAGCATTCTTTTAAGATCCGCAGCCAGCCAATCGTCCATGGCGTCGATCACGATGACAGGCCTTCCTGTTTCGATGAAACTTCGAATCGGAACATTGCTTCTCCTCCGTTGTAAAAGTCCCGAAAGAATTCGTAAGAAAATTCTTCCGCAGCCAGCCAATCGTCCATGGCGTCGATCACGATGACAGGCCTTCCTGTTTCGATGAAACTTCGAATCGGAACATGTGATTTAAATTTGCTAATTATTTAAGGTCAATACAATTGTATGTATCTTAGCTTGGATCAGCAGGAATTATTCAATGAACCGCTTGATGAGCACGGAAACAATAAAGCGGCATACGACGAATATACACCGCCTCATCGTAAAACTTATTGAATCCCTCGATTTTTCTATGAATCATTCACCTTAATCCGCTTTGTGATTTTCAGCAATGTCATTAAAATTAAGCCAGTTTCATATTCTAAAAATTGCGAACCTGAATATGGAATTTTTAAAATTGAATTTACCGAGAATTCGAAAATTTATTCCGGAAAATCCACCCGAAGCATTTGATTTTCCATCAGCCGCGAGAGGACACTTGATTATTAAGGTATAGATCAACATTAGCCTGCAGAATTAGAATTTTACTGCATCGATTTATCCCTATCCTTAACAAATAAGGAATCAATACTTTATGCCATAGCGTTGTTTCAACACTTAAGAGTGAACGACTTCTTGAAGAGGCCCAGGTTCAAGACGTGAAAGCTTTGAAGGCAGTGCAAGGACGTTTATAGCGTCAGGTGACCACCAGACTGAAACAGGTTCCAAGAACCAGGAACTTCAATCACGCACTGAAGAAATATTTTAAATACTGTAAATAATTTGATCAAATGCTGTGACAACGAAGAAAACTATGGAATTTTGAATTTCTTATTGCCTGTTCTGATTTCGAGTTTCCCACCAAGTGCTGAGCAATTCGACCGATGAAAGTCGCTTGGAAAATCGCAATCGAAGCCAACACCGTGACGAAGAATGTCACGATTGTTTTTCGCTTTTGCAAGACCTGATTGATATTTTGTTTGAATTCGAGGACTGCTGACAAAATGCTTCGTAGTCCTTGCTTGACTGTATGTTTCACTTGCTCATTCCGATGCCTGCTGGGTTTCATTGTGAGCCCGAAAACCAGCTTCTGTAAGATTTGAACGCTTTCCAATTGGGAGTATGTTTTTAGGTCCTTTTCGGAGGCCTTGAGCAGTTTTTGTTCAGCCTTCGTTAACGTGTGCTTCAAGGAATCTACCAAATTTGCCATATTTGCCAAATTTTTGTTCGTTCGCGGATTTTTCGGAGAACAAGCTCCTCGATCAACAGCAGAAGGTAGAATACTGACTGCAAGCTTTGCACCTCCGAGAAATGCTTTATGGAATAAGAGTAGGGAATGTGGTTGACTTATCAGCATGAAGCAGCAGGAGGCGTTTATTAACGTCTGACCGGGCAGTAATGTTACTGCTGATCGATATACGGCATCCTTATCACCGGGGTCCAGCAGGCAGGAGCAGCTGTACACTAGTACGTGCAGCAAGGGACATTTTATTCGTCAATGGCTATTTGCACACAGCCGTTCTTGCCTTTCCTCAAAAGCAAAAATATTACAGCATTTCTAAATTGCTGTACAGTACTGGGTTGTATCTTTTTTCTGCAGTCCGTACGAGATGAATGCAGCAAGGCCGCGTCGGAAAAATGAGAACTACAGATGCGGCATCCAGTAAAACGAATGATTTTCAGATTTTTCAACCTCTCCTCTAGATGACGCTAAACTCTCGAGGTCGTTTCGCTCAATAGGCGGATGAGCAATTAACAACCGTATGAACAGTATTTTATATTTAAAATATAATCTCTAGATTTAAAATTCACAGAGGAGATTCAAATTTCCAACAGAACTGGTTTATGTCTTATTGAAGCACTGTGGCTAGTTCTTTTGAACTGTATCAGTGAAGCAAGTGCAGTACGATGACCACGGAATTACTGTACGGAATAAGTGTACAGTACTTTACACTCCTTTAGCGCGTACTCCTCTACACATTTGGAGAAGCGGACATTTTTTGTGTTCATACCGGCAGCCGGTGAACACGAATCTCAGCGAGTTTCCGTTAATTTCGGAGTAGATATCATTTGATATGAGAGGTGGTCTAAATTTAAGTTTCGACGACGATTAGAAGTTTGTTGACGCCTGCAGAAAATTCCTTGTGCGTCCTGTTGGTGAATGTATTCGTGTGCTGCGAGTTTTTCATTTCGTGGTAAAGACGCGCACCTAATTTGTGCATGTTGTATGCCTTACTTGGCCTTTCGTTTTCGATTTAGGAAATACGTGCTCGAGTGTTTATCGCGAAGTGTGCGCAGGAGCTATTTCGTTGACAAATTATCCTAATGGAAACGGTGGAAAGTACTTCCGGACGCCGTTCTCTTCGAGCGCCAAAGACGAAACAGTATGAATCCCCTGAAATATCAAGAAAACCCGCCGCAGTGAAGAAGCGGAAAGCGGAACCTGTGGTTGCCATTCCCAAGCGACAGCGGTCGTCTAAGGCAATTTTTGAGGTGGACTTCATCGTCGATCACAGACTTCACGTCCCGGTTGAAGGGGAGGACAGCGTGAGTTATTACCGTGTTCGTCTGTGATAATTCTAGTCGACTGATGAACTCCTGGGCCTTCAAATTTCAACAGGAGGACAAGTTCGAATTCTTGATTCGTTGGAAAGGATTTGACCAAGATGAGGATACGTGGGAGCCAGAAGAAAATCTCGGTTGTCCTGATAAACTCATCGAATACCGGAGCAAGTGAGGCATTTCAAGTCTTTTACATATCGAGTGAATCATCATATGCTTTCCTATTAGAATATTTGGTAAAATGTGTCACTCGAAATCGTCCGGAATAAATGAAGATGCAGTGGAAGAGAAGTTGGCGTCCCTTCGAAATCAAGTGGAGCTTCTTTCTGACAACGAAGTGCTCGGGAAACTGACGAAGTTGAAAAGTGAAGGTGTCATGGATCCTGTAAGTTTCGTTGTGTAGTTGTTTCTAGGTAATACTGTATCTACATTTGTGGCATTCCCTCAGTATCTTAGCGCAGAAGCTACTGTGGCGAGGGGATTGTTGTTTATGAAGTACGCCGAAGAGCAGTTTTCTATTGCGCAAACGGCATTAATGATCACGCGTAAGGAAAAGCAATCAGAGCGTCAAAAAGAAGCTTTAAAAGAGTTCGAGAGGATGATAGCAGAGAAATGTCCTGATGAAGCACGCGTTTATGTCGAAAATGATGTGGATGATGACACCATCCCATCTGACTTCACGTATATTCGCTCCTCATTCGTAAGTCGGAATTTTCCAATGCTGTAATTATTTTCCGGTAAAATTCTAATTGTTTCCTTGGTAGCCTGGAGAAGGTGTGACAATCCCAGACGATCCACTCACTGGTTGCAGTTGCGAATGTTGTTCAGTAAAATCGGCGGAATGCTGTCCCAAGATGAATGGAACCCAGTTTGCGTACAATCCTTCGAAGAAGGTCAAAATCCCGCCAGGTTTTCCCATCTACGAATGCAACAAGCATTGCAAATGCCCGTCTGCGTGCAATAATCGGGTTGTGCAACTTGGGCGCCAGGTAATTCATTTTTCGCGTTTTCCGAAAGAAACGAAACCTTTGGTTGGGGTCAATTGGTATCAACGACAGATGAAGAGCTTGAGGGTCGTTTACATTGTTCAGTATTTCACCTCGTGTTCTGATTTTGGAATGTGACGTGCTCAACCGAAAAAGTGAACTGTTCTGTGCGGTTTTGGTGTTGGTCTTTCTAAGACACAGTATAATAATTTTTCTATGCCTTACCCATAATTCTACAAGTTATCCAGCTGCCTTCCGAGATAATTTTATGTAATGTCGAACTCACTCTGCTCCAAGGTTGTCCAGAAGCATTTCCGGAGAATAGGGCATGTTCACGATAACCAACAAATATTAAAAGTTCGTGATTTCTTCGGAGTTGCAAAGTTGGGACGTTTTTATGTGTAGTGTTTACCCGCAGCAGCTCGGTGAAGAACAATCTTATTTTCATTGGCGAGTGCTAACATTATACCCTGATCAGCCGAATATTTTTGTCTGGATCTGTCGCTATTTTTTAATGCGGTTTTATTCTATGATTTTTTTTATATCTAAGGTGGAGGTCGTCATTTTCAAGACTGAGAACAAAGGTTGGGGTGTAAAGGCGAAAGAGCTTATTAAGAAAGGGACGTTTGTAGCGTGTTACATCGGAGAAATCATCACCAACTCCGAAGCTGAGCGTCGTGGACATAAATATGGTACGGGTATGAGTTTTCCAATTTATTATCATCGGATAAATGAAGAAAAATGGAGCTGGACGCGCTTTAATTTCAATTTTTCCCCCTTTTAGACGCCGAAGGACGAACGTACTTATTCGATTTGGATTTTGATTCTTCAACCAATGTGGACTTCGTCGTGGACGCTGCGAAGCATGGAAATGTATCTCACTTCGTCAATCATTCGGTGAGTGCTTGTCTGTTTCTTCAACCGTGAAACTATCCGGTGATTGAAAATTCTGAAATTCTCAACATTTTTCTGAAGTTGGCAACATTTGTGAATGTTTCATTTTTTTTTCTGCAGTGCGATCCCAATTTGGGTGTGTACGCATGCTACATTGATTGTCTTTTGACGAACATGCCACACCTAGCGTTGTTCGCGCGTCGCGATATAAAGAAAGGAGAAGAACTTACGTTCGACTATTCGCCGGTATTCGAACAAGCCGAACTGACTCCTAAAAAGCTGGATTTCTCAGAAGAAGCTGAATCTGATGTAAAGAGTGAAGCGGAGGAGAAGAGCGAGTCGGAGGAGAAAAACGGAACGGAAGTAAAGAGTGAAACGGAAGAGAAGAACGAAGCGGAAGTGAAGAATGAAACGAATGCGAAAAGTGACTTGAAAGATGGACCGGTCCCTGACGGAATCGCCAATGATGGACCATCTGAATCAATCACAAATGGCGAGAAATCAATTGGTCTTGAAGAAGACGAGAAAAAGGTTCAACCCTTGAAGAAGGTTGTAGCCAGGAAATCAGCGAAAAGCACCAAGAGAAAGCCTCATGCGCTCGACGAAGGCAGAGTGTCGTTTTCTCCTCATGGCGGGGCTCGTGGACGTATTGGAATCAAGTCCTACGGATCCCCGATGCGGGGTTCTGAGAATGACGACGATGATGCCACCATGATCTGTAAATGTGGGGCAGCGAAGTGTCGAAAAGTTATTAAGCTCTGGGGGCCTTCTTGAGTTTGTTGTGGCGCGGGATAACACGTGTCAGAAACGGTGTATTTTTTACGCTGCGGAATGTGAGCTCCATAAGCTTGCGCTTTTCTTTCTCGCTTTTTTGTATTTCGAAGCTTCCGGTCCACTGGAAAATTGATTAGTGCTCGCTTAAAATCGTCGGATATGCGAGAAATTTCTCTTGAGTCTTGCAAGTCACTGGTTTATTAAGGATTTTTTTAAACTGTTTTTAACTTTTTATTGCTATTTGTTGTAGAACGTTTCATTCCATAGCAAACAAGGCGAGATTTATTCAGATATTATTTTAAGGATCTCAAATATTTATCCATGACTAGCGTATGGAAAAAATTTTGAAATTGATTCTTAAAAGTTCATATTCGATAAAAATTTTGCGATTTGAGGTAACTGCCCCGAAGACGTCGCTTCGACTTCTGGTAAGGTTCTCGACCCTCAGATTTTCATTGTTTTTACTTTTCCTTTGGAGAATCACTGATATCGCTACCCAGTGTTCGCGGCTATTTTGTGAGGATGTAAGGCTTTTTTTCTGAACACCCTTTTTTACTTCAGTGACGGACATTTCAAGAGTTCCTCAAAAAGGAGCGCTTGCGTTTTTAAAATATCGTATACAATTGATTTCTTGAAGCTTTTATTTTTATTCTGTGCGAAATGAGATGAGATATTTTTATAAATCAGCAATTGTTACTTACGGAGGGATATGCTCTATCCAATTGCCATGACGATTTGTCAGGGTTTTGCAAGACTTTCGAGAAACCTTTCGTACTCTTCAATCTGTACAACGTTGGAATTACGCAGTCCGTTCCAGTACAATATGTTGGTGTTGATGCGTTGTGTAGTCCTGGAAGTGTTTGTGAGTCGATGCCGCGATGTAAAGTTTGATTTTGTTCCTATTCATCAATTTTCTCGAGGAAATGTCATTCTATTCGGCCCGACTTCTTTTTATATGATGGCTTGATCCGACTGATTCGTTTTAATTTATCAATTTTCTCGAGGAAATATCATTCTATTCGGCCCGACTTCGTTTTATATGATGGCTTGATCCGACTGATCCGTTTTAATTTTTTCGACCCATCGTTTGTCAATGAATCATCTGTTGCATAGCGTTTTATTTCCTGTAAAACAGGAATTTGTTTTCCGGTTTTTAATTTTCGAGTTGGGTTTGAGTCTGTAAAATTGTACATTTCGAAGAAATCCCGTTTTCTCATTTATTTATTTATTTTTTTAACAAGATGGCTCACGTTATGAATTTTGAAACTTGTGTTTTCATTCATCTTCAGTCAAGAGTGCAATGGCTGATGGGTTGACTTTATTCATTCGGAAGTTGCCTGAGGATGCAACTACAAAAGAGGTCGAAAATCTATTTTCCGAATACGGGCCGCTCTCGAAATGCTTCGTCGTTCCGACGAAAGGTAATTTCCAAAATTATTTCTTGACTTTTTTTTTTGGCAATCGCATTACAATTTCTGTTTCCCTCAGACGGCAAAAAAGCGAAAGGACGCGTGGCCTTCGTCACGTTCTCTTTACCTGAAGACGGTTACAAAGCAGCCGAGAAATTGAATGGATTTTCTGTTCGAGAGCACGAGATTTCCGTAGAGCCCGCGAAATCCAAGAAGCAGTTGCGCGATGAGAACGTGAAGATTTCGTGGAAGAAACCGAAGGATTCCAGTGTCGGCGATAAACCCGAAATCAATCGAAAAGCACGGTTAATCGTTCGGAATCTTCCGTTCGCTGCTGACGAAGACAAACTTCAGCATCATTTTGAAGCTTGCGGAAAAGTTCTTGAAACAAGGTTGCTTCGGAGAGATGATGGAAGATTGGTGGGCTGTGGATTTGTGCAGTTCAATTCTCCGAATGAAGCGGCGAAAGCGGTTAAGAATCTTAACGCGAAAAAGTTTTTAGGTGAGTAAAAAATGAAGATGCATTACGCATATTCATCATTTGACTGTAATGAGGGGAATATATTGGGCTGTTCTTAAATATTTCCTCTTTGGGATAATCATATGTAAAGAAGTGCTGTGTTGAAAACATAAATAACCTGGAAGGAATAAGATGAACGGAAAAATAGTGTAATGACAAAATCGTAAAAGGTTTACGTCGCCCACACTTCAGCAAGATAATATCGGAGTTTCAGAATCTGAGCAACTAGCTCAAAAGCCAGTTCAATTGATGCCGAAAGGATTGAATCAACGCACAAGACTGTATCCCATTTAAAAACCCCTTCGCTCAATTATTTTTTCTTCAAACAATAGAACGTGCTGTACTTCAGATGTTGAACGCACTCAAAAGGATTAGTCCTCCCGAAAAGTCGGAAGATTTCTTGGGGAAATTTATTAACGCTATTTTTTGTTTTAAAGCTATTGATCCTCTTATATATATATAAGGTCTTATTTAATCCTCTTGATTGTGTTGAGTTGTTTTCTTTGTTCATGCATCAATTTTTTGCTGTTTCGTGAAGGCAATGCCGAAATGAATTCTTAAAACTCCGCAATGCTCGAATGAAATGCCTTTATTATTGAGCCTTGAACCAATTTGTTTTCATGTAGCTTTAAAATTATTTCGGTTTTGAACTGTATCTTCAGAACGACGAATTTCACTCTGAAAACAATTTTCAGAAGTGCTTTAACGTGTTCTGGATTATTCATGTTTTACTCCACGTAATCCATCTGCCGATCTCCCATGATTCTTCGAAATCTGCATCTCTTTGAAGTTGTTTTTAATCTTCAGGTCGTCCTATTGCTGTTGATTGGGCCGTATCGAAAAATCGCTACTTGGAAGCCGTCGATTCCACGACGAAAGTGGAAACCGATTCAGAGAAGCCAAAAGTTGAAGTGAAAGATGAAAATGAAGTGTCAGGGGTCAAGAGGAAACGTAGCGTCGACGAGACTCCCGGCAAACCAAAGAAGAAAAGAAAGCGTAAAAACAAAAATCAGTCACAGGTGGAACCCCAGGAATCGGATGGGGAATTTCCCACGATCAAGTCAGAGAATGAAGACTCGGAAGTCGACGATGAAGCTGTTGTCAAGGAAGAACCAATGGATGCTTACTTCGGGGGTAAAACGAGTGATGAATCGGATGATGAAGTGAATTCTGGTAGTGACGAAAGTGGTGACGACGACGAAACAGAAGAAAACGAGACAGAGAAAAAGAAAAATCGTGGAGAAAATCCTCCCGAGAGACCCGCGATTTCTCGTGATGTGCGTGAAGGAAAAACCGTATTCGTTATGAACGTTCCCTTTTCCGTCAGTGAAGAAGACTTGTCTGAATTCATGTCGTCTGCCTTTGGTCCCGTGAAGTATTCCTTGTTCAACATCGACCCAGTGACGATGCATCCGAAAGGCACTGCTTTTGTTCAGTTCCAAGTAAGTTGATTTTTTCGAAGTTTACATCGCAGTAGTGAGAGGTCTATTTAGTTGAGAAAAGAATGTTATCCGAATAATGCGGGTTCTGATGTACGATGCATTGCCAGACCTGGTTTAACAAATTTGGGAGAACAGATCACCCAGAACCTCTAACTGAACACTTGGATGGGATTTCAATCAGTGGTACCTGAACATTTTCGTCTCTAGTTCATGGGAAATTTTTGTCTGAAAATTTTGCATTTTTTCAGAGAAAATGTTATTATGTTACATTTATTGCTGCCTGTGCATGTTTCCCGGCTTTCGTAATTTCGCGTGAATATACTTACCCTAACAAAATACCGTACCATACTAAAATCATAAAAGGTTTAAATGATTTCCGAGATCATTTGAAAACCGATTGTTTGTTGTGAAAGGGATATTTTTGAAGCGTTGTAGATAACTACGGTATCCTACTCGTTGTAGACCGAAATCGTGCTAATCCAGTTTTGGGACATGGTGAATTATGGAAAGATTCTGTTATCGTAGATCTTGGTATCACGAACATTCTTGTGGGATGTATTTTATTTAACGTAATGCTATTCTTGTTGAACCTATCTTGGGAATTCGGTATTTTCACGTGAAGTAAATTTTGGTTGTTCCACTTGCCCCAACTTTCTGGAATTCCAGGCGGGGATGTTGCATCAATTTCTAACCCAAAACAGAAATTATTTGATTTGGAATTACTAAACGTAGCAATAATTGGGCAAAATCTGTACAATGTTCATGAAAATCAGGGATTCTGACTTCGGAGACGTCCGGCATTGAAATTGAAGCCTGAGAAAATTTTATCGACAGTCGATGAAATTTGGATGAAATTTTTCTCACGTGCTTGTACAGAATGTACAGTACAGTATATCAATTGCTTTTTTCTCGTTCGGTTTTAGAATTTGAAAGGTGCTGAGGCAATCTTATCCGCTCCTGAAGAATCGTTGGTCTTCAGTGGAAGAACGCTGAAAGTTGTTAAAGCGTTGGGAAGAGGTGGAGCTGGTGAAGTCAAAAAAGACCATGAAATGAGCAAAGTCAAGCCAATAAAGGACAAGAGAAATTTATACCTGGCGAGAGAAGGATGTAAGTCACCTTTTTTTTTAGGAAAATCTGAAAGGGTCTCCATCAAATTTTTTGTTCCAGTAATCCGAGAGGGAACAGCATCTGCGGCAGGTGTTTCTCCGCACGACCTTACGCTCAGACAAAATCTCGCCAAATATAAGAAGAACGTTTTGAAGGATCTCACTATGTTCGTTTCGCCGACTCGATTATGCATCCATAACGTCCCTTTTTCGATGGACAGCAAAGAACTGCGAGAAGTAATGCGAAAAAATTCCCCTAAAGGTGCCGCGATCACTGAGGTGAGAATTATTTTTCGGTGTCTTACGATTTTCATAACGATTTTCCGATTTTTCAGTGCCGTGTGATGAGGGATAAGAAAAACGGAAATGTTTCAAAAGGTTTCGCATTTGTTGCATTTTCGGAGCCAGAGCACGCTTTGGAGGCATTGCGGGAATTGAACAACAACCCAAAAACCTTCTCTGCTAAAAGAGTACGTTTGTCTTTTCCGAGTTATCTCTTCATTTCTCATCGATTAGGTTTTCACAAAGTTACACAGCGTTGGGGAAAGTGTGTGTCGAAGTTCTGAGAAAAAGTGCGCGTAGTTCGTTGAATTTGGTGGGTGCCAGTGAATTTTATCTACGTTAAAAAATACGTTTTTGCGATGGACGCTGTATAAAAGTTCATCATTTGTACAGCATAATATATTTATATCTTTTAAGACAGCTTAATTTTTTTCCCAATTGTAATACTGTACTGTACTTCACTTTACTCTTGCTTGAAAACGGCATAACTGAAAAATAACTCATTTTGCCAAATATTCTGTGTATATGTGTCCTAACGCGAACTTCGACGCCCGAAGTTCGTGTTAGTTTTTCCTGATCAAACCATAGATAATATAGAATGTCAATTGGGAGACCGCAGGGAAAGTACTGTCCCGTAAATTGCTTTTAATTTCTTTGCCTAAATTTCCCAGAGACCCATCGTGGAGTTCTCCATCGAAAACGCGCTCGCTTTGAAAGCACGTGAGAAGCGACTTGCGCGGAGCAAAGAAAAACTTCCGCAGTCGAATAAATCAGAAACTGGAGCTGAAGAAACACCGGCTGATTCCCGACAGCTTTCAAAGCGACAAATGATTCGGTTGAAGTCTTTAGAGCGGTACCGGAAGAAGCGTCTGTTGAGACGTGCCGCGAGAGAGGGTGAAGAAGGAACAGGTGTTCAAGAATCCCCCGCGGTGAATCGTGTAGCGAAGAAGCTGAAGCTAAAGGCGTCACGTGTTGTTGCCGGAAATGCAGAGCGGAAGCGATTGGAAAACGGCAAAGGAAATAAATCATTTTTAGGTGCCACCAGTGATCCTGCAAAGAAAGGTGTCGTAGGTTTGCCTAGTCACGATGGGCCGAAGAAACGACATAAAGCTCGCCCTGGTACTGCCATTTCAAGGAAGATGGTGCGGAAGCAGGCGAAAAATCCTAATAAGGTTGGTGACAAGGAATTTTTCTGTGTTTCGCTTCGAATTCATGATCTGAAATTTTCCGACGTACTCTAACCTAAGCTCACCAAACCTGGCATAACTTTGCCTAACTTAGCCTAATTCCGGCGGAATTTCGGTGCCACCTTTTCAATTTTCTACTTAGTTGAAGATTTGTGAAGTGTCTGATCTAACGGTAACAAATCTTGTTAGTTGAATGTCGGAATGATCTAATTTACCTAACAGTACTTCCTGCAGAGCAAAACTTGAGAACTACTGACTTAAATTAATTAATTCAAAGGAGTCGCGAGCGTTTCGTATCCCAATTTAAAGAATATATTATCCCGCGTGGAAGCATTTTTTGTATAATCACTTGACGTTTTGGCATTTGAATTTCGGTTGCTTTTCATTTGCCTAACAGTCATCTTCTTACGATGAATTGTTACGTTCCCGCAACTGAGTGTTTCGACTCTTGAACGGAACGAACGTCGATTTCATGTGATTGAAATTTGTTTTACGATTCATTCTTCGTCTGTTGGTTATAATTATCATTCACGATCGATTATTGAAACGAGCAGTTCAAGAGTTGAACTTGATGGGGGACTCATTAAATTAATGGAGCAGGTCTGTGTGTCGCTGGACCTGCCTACTAGTCCCTCCGTATAATTAAAGGGATATTAGGTTCGCATATTGTGATCAGTGATGCTGAGAAGTTGAGTCTTCATGAAAAGTGAGGGAACAAATTGCGTTTGCGCTTGCTTCAAAACGTTGGTTTCACTAATTACTGCAATATTTAAACGCAGTTTAGAGTAAACGTTTTTTTTCAAGTCGTACCAGATTTAGTGCTAATAAGATTTTTTTATAAATTTGCAGAAGCCAGCTGCCAATCCGGCAGTAACAGCTCCTCCGCCTGCGATTGCGAAGCAAGGCAAGAAGTCATCAGCTGTTGAAACGAAAGTTCCGAAGTCGACACCGACGACGAAGAAGAAAAATTTCAATCAACAGTCCACTGATCGTGCAGGAGCCAAATTCCAAGCGTTAGTGGACAAATACAAGATGAAGCTGTCTCAAACTTGACCGTCAGCAAGGCCACCCCATCTTTTTAGCTTCACCATGCTCACTAAGGAGCTTACTGGCTGTTAAAACGCGGCTGAAAAACAGAAGTTAAACCGACACATTAACCGGTGTTTCACTTTTTTTAGTTTGAAAAACCATGCCGCAACGATTTTATTTATTTTGAATAGTTCGAACACAGTGATTAGTACAATTCGTTTAGTACAATGATGCTTCATTTTTTTAGTTCTGTATAACAGTCGTGACAGCAACTAATTCTTGAAACCGGTTTCTTCGTTTTCTGCTCTGAATGCGAGGTTTTATTTTGGGCACGTAGTAAGAAAAATAAAAATCACATCTGATAATTTTATTGAAGCTCGTGTTTTTCGCCCAACCAAAAATTGCCTGTATCAAAAGTTGAAAAAAGAAATTTCCGAATGATTTGGAACAAATTTCGCGTACGATTTAATCACCTCTCTAGGTAACTTGACACAAATGGTAATTCTCAAATTCTGTAGTTTCCAATCGATGTACAGTATTTGGTTACTTGACTTTTTTGGATACTGCAGTGAAATTCCAACTGGAATGGAGGAGGTCCATCGACTGCGGCGCCAATGTACATTGCATTCTAATTTTGGATTATATTCAAGTGATTTAAATTCATTTTTGATGGGTGCTTTTCAATAAGGTGAAGCACATTTTTTGCTTTGAAAAATTCGTGAGGAAAATCTTCGTTTACCGCTGAAGAATTGTACAGTACGTTCGAAAATTACTTCGCACATCTAGAAATTCTTTCTGTCAAGATGGTTCTGAGTCACTTACATTCGCCAGTTTCGCGGTATCTATCAGCATTTCAAACCAATGCTTGCAATGTGTTTGTTTTCGTCGCTTTCCACATGACGAAAGCGAGCTTGCTCGCCCGATCATGAGAGCTAAAAATAAATTTTCCAGTGACCATGTTGGTGATTAATGAATCGTGCACTTTGCAATGCTCGATTTGCCACGAATTCGCTAGTCTTGTCAAGCTTTTCTTTTTTCTTCACCAAAATACCATCGAGACGACGTAGAATCCTCAAGTTTATGGTAGGTGTAAAACTTGGACTAACGTTGTCTAACCTATGCATAACAGATCGTTGCTCTGGTCACCCAACTGCCAAAATTGTCATGGACATGAAACGGAAAAACCGTGAGTTTAATAATGAATGCAATTGGAGATCGTGCTTAATTTCTTACCAGCGTTATTGTTTGACTTGCTAAGGATGCCTGCGGGGTTGAAGTCTGAGAATTGCAGAAAGATGACCAAGTACGACGCAACGTTCCCGAGTACCTGTTTTGCGGATTATGCATGAAGAAGAGAAAGAATCAGAATTCGCATTCCTTCTCACCGAGAGGATCAAAGCAGCGTTCACTCTGAAGAAGCCAGCAGCTGACAGAGACTTGGTCGAGTTGCTAATTTCGACGTTGAAGTGAATTACTTTCGGTCTTGCGATGTCCTCCAAGATCTCCCCTTCAATTTGCGCCAACACCCCCGTTGTTCTCATTGCCTACATGATTCAAAAAAGGAACTTGATAGAATGAGGTGTGTCGATCTACATGACCGAGAAATAAGTCGCCGCGCAGAGAATTCCAGAGAAACACCTTAAGTAAATTGATGAAAGATTTCCGGTCGGAATTCGGTGCTTAAGTTTTTGTGCAGGGAGTCATTTTCATTTGAAATTTAAAAAAAATGAACAATACAGGTATTTATTTCAGAAACGATAGATGACTCGATTTTCCTTAGTTCAATATACAGTAATTACGATTGAGGAAAAAAGAACAATACAAATTTATAAAAGCGCAAAATTTCCGGAAAGTACTGTACTGCCTCAAGTTCAGTTGATTTTGGTCTTCAATTTTTTAGAAATTGAATAAAACATTAAAATAATTATTAGTTTTTTAGGATATCTCCCGAAAAAAATAGATGACTTTCTTCTCTTCCGTGAAGAAAGTCCATGGACTTTTTTATTTAATTCAATCATTTTGAAAATACGATTATTATTCGAGGAAGTTTTTTATCTCAGAGCTGCATTTTACGTGCTCAGATATTTCATGAATCATTCGATTCTTTCTTCTTCAAATATTCGACGTATCCGTCAAAAGTTTGAGCATTGTTCTTATAAATCGAAGTATGAAGCATTTCCTGTTTGCCAATTTCGGCGGATTTTTTTGTTCTCATGTCAGCTTCGGTGAACATTGGATGAGGGTGTGTTAATGTTTTTTATGCCCTTCGGCCAATGGGGACGTCTGCTAAGGAAATTTTCATTCCGATGCATGCAGTAATCGAAGCAAAGGAATCTCACTTCCTCTTCAGGTCTCGAAGCTGTCCAACACAAGACCGCCATCCGAAGAAAGTGGATCATAACCGGGGCAATTTGGACGAGTAGCCCATCTTTGCTTTCCCGTTGCCCGATCCAGATACAAAAATGAATGGAGCACGTGAGCAGGACGAGCAAAGACGCACTGGTGACCAGGATCCAGGCCGAGAAGCACTTCGCAGTCGCCTCCACCATGTTGCAAAGCTCCCCGTAGCGTTTCCGGAACTTATCCAGTCCCTTCAATTCGGAATTCAGTCCGAGCGACAAGTGTTCGTTGACGGTGACGCGAAACGCTCTTGCGATGCACGTCACGATTGCGACGAACAATGAGTCCCCGGCCATGCAGTACCAGTAGGCGCACGCATAGGGCCACATGGCTCCCAGGTTGTCGCCGAGCATGACGGAGATGAGGACTGTGGCTGTGAAGCCGGCCAACAGTGTGGCGAGGACCACGAAGTCTCGGAAGAACCGAGTCAAGAAAACTTACCGGTGACGCCATCTACCGTCGTGTCCGTTGAGCGGCTTGGCGGCGTACTCAGAGGGCTCGACACCGGTCAACTTCTGACAGTGACAACGGTCGTATCAACTGTAGTCGCAGCCTAAGAAGCTCACCTGTGATGGCATAGATTCGACAGAAGCAAGTATTGGTGATTGCTGGATGATGTGGACATCTCAGGCTAGGGCTTTCATGGTAACTAATAAACTCTGACTTATTGTTCGTGCGACATTCCTGTGTCTTACCGAAAATTCTATGTGACATTCCGAGACTCACCGGAAGCAGTCGAACAGTAGAGGCAGTTCAAATTAATTTTTTTACTTCCCCCATAATTTTTGAGCATACCTCAAAAATTCATGTGTCCCCTTTCAGACTGCTGTGGGAATGAGTACTGTATTATAAAATTCGGAAAGAGCAAGAACATGATCCAGCTTGTTTCCTTCTGATGAACCATGCCTCAACAATATCTAAGCGAATCGAACGAAAGATCAACTACATTTAATGCTTTAGGTTGAGATATCTAGTTGATCGTGGGATACGTCGGAGAACATTCCCAGAGATAGATTTCATGTCCGTTTCTTCATTCTTCGGCGCTCAAAAGGGTATTTACGCGCATAAGGATGAAGTCAGAATTATCTCGAATGTATTCCTTCAATTATGTACGATCTAACTTAACCTAAAAATTGATCATAAGATGGCGAGGAGCAGTTCAGTGATCCTCTCATAGGTGTAACCGTAGGCATGGTTCCTCCCGAAAAGCAATCTACGGGTCATATTTCGCATTTGGGCCAAAACATAGTTCAAGATATATTTTACAGTCAGACCTCTCCAATTCGAATTTCAAGGGACCAGCAAAAAATCGAATTAGTGAGGTTTCGTGTTTTAGATGCTTGCGTGACGGAACCAAACATTTTTTGTTGTGGGGAAAATATATGTATTGCACAAAATTGTAAATGGTGATATCCTGGGCCTTAAATTCTTAAAATGAGTTGACAGTATGCTGAAGAAGGATGCAGAAGTTCATTTTCCCAATTTAGTCTTCTTCCTTTCAAAACACATCAAATTACATCATTTTTATTGCTATTAGCTCTCCTGTGTTTAGAGAATAATAGCCAGAAGGCCTCAAAAAATTCGACTTGCGGATGTTTCAGAGGAAACGCCTTTGATTTAGGGAGGTTTTTAATACATTGTTTCTATGGGAATTCTGGGACTTGAACAAAATTTGATTGTGGGAGTTACGAGTTATTGAGGTTCAACTACAGCATATGGGGGCCACATCACCGCGTGTAGGCGCAGAAACTATTTGTGCCTTGGATATTTCTGCGGATGGGTTCGTCTCGATGTGTTTCAACAAACATTAGATAATCTGTCACAGGTGAATATAAGGGCTCCCACACCTACCTATTATCGATAGGATCCTCATCCAAACGCGGATATGTATGCAAGTGGGTACAGTACAGGTATTCTAGACAAGTGCGACAATATTTTTTTTTTACCATGAAAAGGCTGACATCGACAATGGTACCAGTGTTCACGAGCTTCTCAACCGCCTCCCCAAATGAATACCGGCTCGTCTTGCTCAACGAAATGTTGGACGTGAAGTAAACGATGAATCCGTAAGCATGCAGCACTGTGTACAACACTGCATTGTAGATGAGCCACAGTCCGCTGAATCGTACGTCCATCCGTCCATCCCCGTGTTCCTCGAATCGGAATGGGAAGAAGCCGAGAACACGACTGACCATGAGTACGGACTTGAGGCAGTGGAGCAAGGAGAGCCTTTTGATGCCCGGTGGTGGAGCAAATTCACGCCAAGCGCCTACTTTCACTATCATCTCCTGGTTCCCGCCGATGTTCACCGCGGGCTCCACGTTCGTGGGCATCACGTTGACTGGCATGCTCATATCACGGATGAGGCTGGTAGGCATGGTTTCTGTGTCTTGTTCTGAAGAGATGAAGATTTCATTACAGCTGTAATTTGATGGATAATGAGCTTGGTGAGCTCATTCCAGTTAGAAGTGTATCGTCCAAAATCCCATTAACCGAGTGTTCTTATCAAAATTCTGTCGCGCCAAAGTCAGCAGTGTTGATTGAAAAAATAGTTGAATAGGCTTGAACAAATGCGCAATGTACAGAATCATCAGTTGATATGTCGTAGGACAATTACGCACGTGTCATG